AAGGTACAAAAAAAAAAAAAAAGAAAAAAGGAATTATCTATGTGAGATCAAACTGACAACAGCAACCCAAAAGGTTTGATGGGAATCCTAGGGGCCAGTGAGTTGAAGACAATGGTGATGGAATAATTTGGAAAAGGATAGTGAGAACAGCAGCACAACTGGGAGAATGTCATCAATGTCACTGAATTGTACATGTAGAAATTTCTGAAATGGTGTATCTTTGGCTATGTATACTTTCACCAAAAAAAAAAAAAGGTCCTCCAAGGTTGAGAAGGGAGAGTGTTGACATGTCGTGGGGTTGTTAACCCATGTGATAAAATAATATGCGTACTGACTGTTTAAAGAGAAACTATTCGTTCTGTAAACCTTCACCTAAAGTACAATAAAAAATTTTTTTTTTAAAAATGGGCAAAGGACATGAACAGACACTTCACCAAACAGGACATTCAAGTGGCCAACAAATACATGAAAAGATGCTTCCCCACAGGACAGAGTAGAGTTTCCAAGCAGCGCCTGGTAGATTCGAACTGCTGACCCTTTGGTTAGCAGCCATAGCTCTTAACCACTATGCCACCAGGGTTTCCCATTAGTCATCAGAGAGATGCAAATCAAAACTACAATGAGATACCATCTCACCTTGCAAAAATGGCACTGATCAAAAAAACAGAAGACAACAAATGCTGGCAAGGTTGGGGGAAGATTGAAACTTTTAGACACTGCTGGTGGAACTGCAAAATGGTACAGTCAGTATGGAAAATGGTATAGCTCTTCCTCAAAAGGCTAGGAATAGAAATACCTTATGATCTAGCAATCCCACTCCTAAGTATATACCCGAGAGATCTAACAGCAGTGACACAGACATATGCACACCTATGTTCATTGCAGCATTATTCACAATAGCAAAAAGATGGAAACAACCTAAGTGCCTATCAACATACGAATGGATAAAGAAATTCTGGTACATACACACAATGGAATACTATGCAGCTATAACGAATAACAATGAGTTCTTGAAACATATTACAACATCGATAAACCTGGAGGACATGCTGAGTGAAATACGTCAATTATAAAGGGACAAATATTGTATGGCCTCACTTTTATAAAAAGACAAGAATAGGTAGATACAGAAAGCAACATTCTTTAACGGTTACCAGGGGTGGGAGGGGGAATCACTTTCTAGATAGTAAACCCACTGCCATCTAGTCAGCTCTGACTCACAGCGACCCTATGGACAGAGCAGAACTGCCTCATAGAGTTTCCAAGGAGCAGCTGGTGGATTCAGACTGCCACCTTTTGGTTAGCAGCCATAGCTCTTAACCTCTGTGCCACCAGGGCTCTTTCTACATAGTAGACACTTGTTATTTTCAGTGATGGGACACGTAACACTCAATATGGGTGAAAGTCTGCACCACATGATCAAGGTAAATGATGACACTAAGAAGTACACAAAAAGGGACAATTTTGGTAAATGCTAACATATACAATTTTGCTACAACACTAATAACCAAAAAAATGTGTGTGGTTACATAGGTAGAGATATGTGCATGTATGTGTACAGGAAGACATGTGAGTATATGGGTGTGCATGTATAGGTGTATCCACAGGCATATGCATATACATGTTTGTATGTGCTGCATATATATTCATATATATAATAAAGTACATGGGGGGCACAGTTACAGATACTTCCTAGATACAACCAAATACCTCATGGGATTGGTTTACAGGGTTTGAAGGCTTAAGACCATAATCTAATGGGACAACTTGATTAACCGGCATAACGTAGTTCATAAAAATAATGTTCTCCATCCTAGTTTGGTGAGTAGTGTCTGGGGTCTTAAAAGTTTGCAAGCAGCCATCTAAGATACAACTACTGGTCTGCACTCGTCTGGAGCAAAAGAGAAAGCAGGCAACCAGACTCAAAGAAGAAACTAGTCTACAGGACTAGCGGCCCACACGAACCACAGCCTCCTCTGTCATGAGACCAGAAGAACTAGATGGTGCCAAACTACTACTACTGACCCTTCTGACCAGGGACACAACAGATTGTCCTAGACAGAACGGGAGGAAAATACAGAACAAAACTCAAATTCCTTAAAAAGGCCAGACTTCTGGACCAGAGAGACTAGAGGAACTCTCGAGACTATCACCCTAAGATACCCTTTAAACTTGGAACTGAAGCCACACACAGAGGTCACCTTTCAGCCAAATGGACTGGTTCATAAAACAAACAATATCAATTGTGAGTACTGTGCTCCTTTAAATAATCATCTATATGAGACCAAATGGTCATCATTTACCCTAGGCGAAAGATGAGAAAGTAAGGGGGTCGGGGGTGGGGTGCAGGGAAGCTAGATTAATGGAAAAAGAACAAGCAGAACAGAAATAATGATAATATTGCCACATTGTGAAAAATGTACCAGGCACACAGAGGAGCCCTGGTGGTGCACTGGTTAAGAACTTGGCTGCTAGCCGAAAAGGTTGGCAGTTCGAAGCCACCAGGCGCTCGTTGGAAACCCTATGGGGTAGTTCTACTCTGTCCTATAGGGTCACTATGAGTTGGAATCAACTTGATGGCAGTGGGTTTGGTTTTTTGGTTTAGGCACACAGAGGCAGGAAATCATGATCCATGGTGCAATCAATCAATCAAAGTATAATCAATCAAAAGTGATTCAGAACCGACAGACGTTGGAGTGAACAGAGAAGGCCATAACTAGTTATTTCTAACTGTATTCCGTATGTTCAAAAAGTTAACCAGAGGCATAAAAAAGGCCCAAATCAAACTTCTAGACAGGAAAACGACAATGTCAGTGATGAAAAACACACTGGATGGGATTAACAGCAAATTGGACATTGCAAGAGAAGAAAAGATTGGTGAACTTGAAGACACAGTAAAAGAAACTGAACAAAATCAAGCAAGACAGAAAGAATTAAAAAAAGAAATAAAGAAAAGCGTATCAGTGAGCTCTGGGACAACTTCACACAACCGACTATACAGGTCACAGGAGTCCCCTTGAGAGAAGAGCAATCACTCTCTTGTTGAAGCAAAACTTCTCAAGGTTTTTTCTCATGTCGCCTTCTCAGCGAGGCCCTCCAGGCCACCCTCAGTTGGGCACACACCAAGTGTGTTTGATGACAAGAAAGTCAATACAAACCTTCCCAATGTCCTGCAGAGTTGCCAGTTCTAGAATCTGTGAAAGAACATCCAAGGCAGAGCGCAGAAACCCCCCGAACTTCTCACTGCTGTTCTGGAGATCCAAGGTGACCTTGAGGGTGAAGGAGAGAAGACACAGTTATAGGCACCGCCATTGTAGGACCTGAAACAAAGACACCAGTGCTGCCCGCTGCCATGCGATGTGCCCCCCTGTGCAGCCCTACACCCTCGCCACTCTGGGTATGTGTGGGTGTCTGTGTGTGTGGGTGTGTGTTCTCAGCACCGGGAAAACACCTTGAAAAGGGAATTATTCTTTGAGACAGTCATATTAAAACTGTTACCTTTCAAAGGGCATCGTCAAAGTTCCACTGACACTACTGAAAGAAAGAATTCCCAATCTTCTGTCAGATGAGGAGGATCTCTAAGAGGCCCATGAGAACCAGTGTCTGATAAGCAGGTTTATCAAAAAAATATGAAAAGAAGTCCCATTCCCCGTGCATTAGGATCTCTGGGGAAAATCAGTGTCAAATTCAGACACAGTTCTCAGTGTGGCTACAACAAGTATTAAATCAGTATCAGGGGGAAAAAAAAAAAAACCAAACCCACTGCTGCTGAGTCAATTCCAACTCACAGTGACCATACAGGACAGAGTAGAACTGCCCCATAGGGTTCCAAGGAGCAGCTGGCGGATTCAAACGGCCGACCTTTCGGTTAGCAGCTGAGTTCTTAACCACTATGCAACCAGGGCTCCAAATTAGTCTTACGAAGTATTAAATTAAGATTCTATGGATTCAGCTTACTGAAATCAGGCAGCAATTCCTCCATTTACAGACTGAGAGGAGAAGTGAGGACCAAAGACGATGTGTAAGGACAAGGGCCAGAATAAATACTGGCAAAATGCTGCAAAAGTGCTCCAATCAATAGAGGAACCCAGCCACCCAGGATGGAGAGGCGACCAGGCAAGAGAAGGACAGGCATGAATGTAAGCAGCTCCGCATCCTGCTGACACCCTCCTGTGGACAGGCCAAGGAGAGGAGGGAAAAACCAGGAGGTGACACCCGAGGAGCCAAGAGGCAGGGTGACGTGGCGAGGCCATGCTGAGAGGAGATGGAGAAGAGGTCAAAAGCCCAGGGACATGAGCAAACATGGGCCCAAGGACACTCTTCCCTCCCAGATGACAGGGAGGGGAGGGGGCTTGGAGATGCTGGTGGCAGGGAGAGTTAATGGCAATGCACTCCAGGAAGGTCCATCTTTAGAGTAAACAGGAAGTCACGAGGTGACAATTAAGACACAAAGGAGAGTCTCGGGGCCTGGAGAAGAGCGGGAGCAGTTCCGTGGAGACGCGGGCAGGAAGTAAACCGGGGAAGAGCAAAGGGACAGCAGAGGAGCGGGAAGGGCCACGCAACAGGAGGAACCAGAGGTGCTCGGCAGCTCAGCAGAAGGAACCAAGGAAACCGAGCAGTGATGAGCAAAGATCTGCCTGGACATCCTAGGTACTCTAAACACATACAACAGAGACGCTGGAACTAGGCGTGAACGAGGTGGTACACAGAGGAAAGGAAGCAAGGAATCCGAGACACCAAGGAGCCAAAATTGGTGGACCCTGGAGCCCAGGATATTCGGGAAGGAAAATGATGACCAGGAGCAAGCACACGGGGAGCACAGAAGGGTCAGGAACTAAAGATGACATGAGTGAAACAGGCTGACAAGAAACGCCTTCTCTGCGTACATTTTAAAGGTGCTCTCCGTCTGTACATTTTAAGGGTGCTCTCCGTCTACTTGGGGGTTGATGCAAGAAACACCTGGCTAAAGAGAGCTCCCACATCTTTTCTAAAATGTGGCTGAAGATTGTCCTTTCAAAATTATCAATCCCCTTCAGAAAAGAAGCCATATAAGGTTTATAAATTGTTTTCCAAAACAAAGGAGAGAAGTATCTATTAGTAACAGCAACAACAAAAAAGAATACCTGACGTTATGGATTGAATTGTGTCCCCCCAAAATACGCACTGTAAATTCTAACTCCTATACCTGTGGTTATCATCCCATTTGGGAATGGTGGTTTTTTTTTTTTATATATATTTTATTGTACTTCAGGTGAAGGCTAACAGAACAAATAGTTTCTCATGAAACAGTAGTACACGTGTTGTTTTATGACATTGGTTAACAACCCCACAACATATGAACCCTCTAACTTCTCAACTTTTTTTTTTTTTGGTGAAAATACACATAGCCAAAGATACACCGTTTCAAAAATTTCTACATACACAGTTCAGTGACATTGACTACGCTCTTCCAATTGTGCTGTTATTCTCATTTAAGATGAAGGCTTACAGAACAAAATAGTTTCTCATTTAACAGTTACTACAAATGTTGCCCTATGACAATGGTTAACAATCTCACAACACATCAACAATATCCTTACTCAATCTTGTGTTCCCTATCACCAGCTTCCTTGTCCCCTTCTGCCTTCTGGCCCTTGTCACTGGACTCCTGTACCTCGTTAGTCTCATTTGGTTTTACGGGGCTGTCCACTCCCAGGCTGAACAGTGAACCTCGGAGGTAACTTCACCCATGAGCTAAAAGGGTGTCTGGGGGCCATACTCTCGAGGTTTCTCCAGTCTCCTTTAGGCCAGTAAATCTGGTCTTTTTTTTGGTGAGTTAGAATTATGCTCTACATCCTTCTCCAGCTCTGTCCAGAACCCTCTGTTGTGATCCTGGTCAGAGCAGTCAGTGGTGGTAGGCAGGCACCATCTAGCTGTACTGGTCTCAGTCCGGTGGAGGCCTTCGTAGCTGTGGACAATTAGTCCTTCGGACTAATCTTTTCCTTGTGTCCTGTTCTCTTCATTCTCCCTTGCTCCCGAAGGGATGAGACCAGTGGAGTATCTTAGATGGCCGCTCACAGGCTTTTAAGACCCCAGATACTACTCAGGGAATGGTGTTTTCTTCGTTAAGAGGACAACAGTCTAGGGTATGTTTTAAGGCAATCACCTTTGAGATATACAAACAGCAGCTAAGGACAGGGAAGCAAGCAGAGATGGAGGAAGACTGATGCCACCCCACATGAAGATCACCAAGGAACAAGGACCTTCCACCAGAGCCGACTGGGAGAGAAAGCCTCCCCAAGAGCCTGCGCCCTGAATTTGGACTTCTAGCCCTCTAAACTCTGAGAAAATAAATTTCTGTTTGCTAAAGCCACCCATGTGGGCATTTCTGTTACAAGCAGCACCAGATAACTAAGACACTTAGGGATACATTTATCGAGATACGTGCTGAGATCTACGTGAGAGACTCTTCCAAATGCTCTGAGGCACACGGAGGAAGATGTGAACAAACGGGAGAATCCTGTGCTCTTGGACAAGAAGCCACAATGTCTTCAGGTATCAGTTTTCCCTAAATTAGTCTACAAATTCAACATAACCCCAACAGAAAGACTCCAAGGATTTTTTTTGGAATAAGACAAGCTTATTCTAATGTTCACATGTAAACCAGGTAAGAACATCCAGGAAAATTCTAAAGAAAAATGGAGATGAGCTGTACGTGTAGAAATTGTTGAGATTGCATATGCTTTGTTATGTGTATTTTCACATAAAAAATATTAAAAAAATGCGGAAACTAACCCCCTCGAAAATATTATGAAACCACAATAATGAAAAAGCATGCTTCTAATACATGAACAGAGTTCTAATACATGAACAGAGAGCTCTAACACATGAACAGACAGCTCTAACACATGAACAGACAGCTCTAACACGTGAACAGACAGCTCTAACACGTGAACAGACAGCTCTAACACGTGAACAGACAGCTCTAACACGTGAACAGACAG